GCGGCGTGGCTGCGGCCCAGGAGTGGGCTCTCGGCCCGGCGTTCACGCAGCCTCTGTTTTCAGATTCACTTTCGAAAACATCGACTCCCTTCAACAAGTCCGGCAAGGCAGCGAGCCAGCAGGGGGCGCCGTGGGAGACGCTCGTGGTGTTCGCCATCAACCTGAAGCAGCTCAACGTGCAGATGAACATGAGCAACGTGATGGGGAACACAACGTAAGCCGCTCGGCCGGGCGCGCGCAGGGGCGTCTCGGGCTTCTCCAGAGGTACCTCGGGGCCCTGACGCGTCCATGTGAGATGACGAAGACAGCTAAAGTGTGGCCTGCCCTCACAGTGACCCTAAAACGGCACGAAGTCCAGACTCAAAACCATGAGGAAGATGGGGTGATTTTCCAGCTGAGAAGTGGCCTCAACATGCGAATTTATCACAGCTTCTGTGAAACGCCTTTGTCAGCCTCGACATTTGGGAGGCGTCTGGCTGAACCGCTGTTTCAGCCACGACACGGACGCCCCGTGCGATTCTCTTTTTCAGCTGGACGACGAGTGGCCTGAAGAGCCAGGGCCGCCTGTCGGTAGGCAGTAACCGGGACCGGGAGATCAGCATGTCGGTGGGGCTGGGGCGGTCGCAGCTGGACTCCAAAGGGGGCGTCGTCGGAGGCACCATCGACGTGAACGCCCTGGAGATGGTCGGTGAGTCGCGAACTGGTCACGGGCGGTGCCTCGAGCAACAGTTCTGAGGTTTACTGCGGGGGTCCTGCCCACTGGGCTCGCCTGAGGGCAGTGCCGCTGTCTGTCTGCCCAGCGCACATCTCCGAGCACCCGAATCAGCAGCCCAGTCACAAGATCCAGATCACCATGGGCTCCACCGAGGCGCGCGTGGACTACATGGGCTCCAGCATCCTCATGGGCATCTTCAGCAACGCCGACCTGAAGCTCCAGGACGAGTGGAAAGTGAGTCTGTACAGCACGCCGGACTCGAGCATGGCCGACAAAAGGTACTCGCACCAGCGGCGCCTCCCGGCGTCCCCCCGACCCCGGGAAGGGGGGCTGGCGTGACGGGAGCGGCCGGGCGACACGGCGCTTGCAGCTCCAGCTTTGCTCACCCGATGACGTCGTTTCATGTCCAGTGAGATTTTTGTCCATGGAGACCTGAAGTGGGATATTTTTCAAGTGATGATATCGCGATCAACTACGCCAGACCTGATAAAAATCGGAATGAAGCTGCAGGAGTTTTTCACACAGCAGTTCGACACCAGCAAGCGAGCGCTGTCTACCTGGGGGCCCGTCCCTTACCTGCCCCCGAAGATGACGACGACCAGCCTGGAGCGGAGCTCGCAGGAGCAATGTGAGCGGCAGAGCTGAGTCCCGCGGACCCGCTTTCCTACGGCTGCCGGTGGGAGGCAGGGCTGGGGTTCGGGGGGCTCGGGTCCCCCAGCTTCTGATCCTGACACCTGGGGCAGCGTGCCCCAACTCAGGCTGTGGGGTCAGGGGGCAGGCCCGGCCACCCCCCGCCCACCAGGCTCCTCCGCGTCAGCACAGGCGTGGGCAGTGGGCCGGACTCCGAGCCGCTGGGCTGTGGCCCTCCCGGCGCTGCCCTGGCCAGGGACCGCGTGGCCCAGAGACGGGGCACGGGCGTGCGCGGCGGGTGCGGTGCCCTGCAGGGTGGGCGGGAGCCCCCCGGCGTGAGGGTGAGGCCCGTCACAGCGGCCCTGAGGGGGCACAGCGAGCAGGCGGAGGGGCCTCGCACCCAGAGCGGCGGCCAGGGCTCTGCCGGGGAGTCCGGGAAGTCTGACTCCTTGCTAAATGCGCCTTCCCGAGGCAAAGCTCACTCTGGCCGCCGTGAAGGGTGGGGGCAGAGAGCACCGCGGTCGTGGGCGCGTGGCCCGGCCGCCCACAGGGGCTTCACCTGGAGCGGCGGCGTGACCTACCTGTGGTGGAAATCGGGTCGCTTTAGTGACATTTCATCGCAGAAGCAAAAGCCTTTAAGCATCATGCCCCGCCCACCCACGGGCCCCGACACCCACCGCCGCCGTGCCTGTACTTGGCGCCCATATACCGCGCCGGCGTGGCCCCGGGACCCCTCTGCTCGTCGTCTCTCTGGCCTTCGGGCCGCTGCCCTCACAGCTGGCTGCCCAGCCCAGCACACCGGCTCAGGGCCAGGCTGAAGCCCACACGCCGGGAACTCGCACAGTCCTTTCGTGACCCACTGTTAGGGAGACGCAGCCCAGGGCTCCCCTTCTGGTTTCCCTCGCTCCCCACATGCCCTTTAAAACCCAAGGTGGTACTGGTCCGAGTAAAGGGGTGGTCTCGGGAAAGCCCTCGCCAGGGAAGGCAGACCGGCCGGGCTGTCCTGGCCTTGGAGACAGAAGCGATGCCACTAAGCATGGCGTGTGCTGCTCAGCTGGACCCTGGCTGTGTGGACCAGCACAAGGGCCGGGAGCTGGGTATCTGCCCAGTGCTGTGCCCAGCAGGAGCTCCGGCTTTCCTGCGGTGGTGCAGGTGCCGACGCGGCGAGGGGCCTGAGCCCACCTTCTGGCGGCGGGGCAGCAGGGTTGGGAAAGGGTAAAGGAAACCCACCCTCACGTCAGGGCACCTGCCTGCCGTTTCTCAGCCTCCCACGGGGCGGCTCACTGACGCCTCTGCCCCCTCCCCTGAGAGTCTGGATGAAATACCTGAATGGCAGAGTTAGCAGAGAACTTAAACCTTTTGCGCAAGCACCCTGTGCGTTGTGAGCCTTTCCCAGAGAGCCGGGCTGCCCGGGCCCCGCCAGGTGGCGTGCTCTGCTGCCAGGCTGCTGCCTCGGCCCTCGCTGGCGGCTGACAGGCCCTGGGCCCGGCCTGTGGGCAGCGCCCGCTCCAGAGCACCGGCACTCTGGTGAGCATTCTGGTTTCCTCGCAGTGCTGGATGCGGCTCACCATCGACACTGGCCGGGGGTCCTGAAGGTGGTGTCGGGGTGCCACATCTCCCTGTTCCAGATCCCGCTACCGGAAGACGGGATGCAGTTTGGCGGGTCCATGAGCTTACATGGGAATCACATGACCCTGGCTTGTTTCCATGGCCCAAACTTCCGTTCAAAATCCTGGGCCCTTTTTCATTTAGAAGAACCAAATATTGCTTTTTGGACTGAAGCTCAGAAAATCTGGGAAGATGGTAAGTTGATGTGTTTCTAGCTTTTACTTTTTCCAGTCCGGCGTGTGCTTACACGTGGCGCCGCTTTCCCTCCCACCGTCTGCGTCCTGCTTCGGTCAGCCTGAGTTGGCGTGAAGGTTTAGGCTGCCGCGAGTGGAAGGACTGGTTTTCTGGGCTTGCCTGCTTCTGCTGTGGCTGGCCACATTACAGTGACCGTCCATGCTTTGTGTAAAACATGAAGACAGACGGTGCTGGTGTGAGGAGACCATCAGGGAGAATGTGCCGCGAACCCGGGGGGCTGTTTCTGCTCTGCCCAGGACAGGCCGGGCTCCTTCTAGCTTCCACCCCCTGCTCGGTGGGTTCCCTGTGAGGAAGATAAAGGTAGATGTTCTTCATCTTACTCGGGGTAAACCAGTCACTGCTGGGTAAAGGCGTGGCTTGTGATTACAGCTTGTAGCTAAATCTGCTGCTTCCAGACCACACCTTTTCGCATCTGAAGGTAAACTCCTGTTCTGTAGGCTCCAGCGACCATTCCACGTACATTGTGCAGACGCTGGACTTCCACCTGGGCCACAACACCATGGTCACCAAGCCTTGCGGTGCTCTGGAAAGCCCAATGGCCACCATAACCAAGATCACCAGACGCCGTCACGAAAACCCGCCCCACGGAGTGGCGAGTGTGAAAGAGTGGTTCAATTACGTCACAGCCACGAGGAATGAAGGTCAGGGGTTGGCTTGCAGCGGGCGCGTCTCTTGCTTTGCCCAGCAGACAAGCCACAGTAGGACCGGCCAGCGCCGGTGTGGCCAGATACTGCAGAAATGTTTTTGAAGCGACCGTGAACATTGGCGGTTTGGAGAATCACGGCAAAACCCAACAGACAGTAATGTCAGGGCTGCCACGAAGTGAAACCACTATCCCTGCGAAGCCTCTCGTGTGGAAAGTGTCCTCGTGCAGTCAGCGCCGCGTGTGAGCGCTGCCCACCACCCCACACGCGGGCGCTCCGGGCCGCCAGCCGCAGCCCCGCCGGGCAGGGGTGGGTCAGCGGCTGTGCGTGCACTGGCACAGGCTGCTGCTCAGTCAGGCGTGGGGAGAAGGGCTCTCTGGGGGGTGAGCTGCAGGGCCGGCAGCCCAGCGGACGGCGGTCGGCGCCTGGGGGGCAAGGGCGCCCTGCGGCAGGCTCTGGCCACACGGCGAGCTCTGCGCTTGGGGACGTGTTCCGATTCAGTTACGGATCACGTTCCCGTTGCAGTCAGCAAAGCCAGAGTCGCTGTTAGTGAAACCTAATCCTCGTGATTCTGTACTTTAAGCTGAGGCTTCATATTGTAGATTTTGAAGCTACTTGTCCCTAGTGTCAGGAAACCCGGGCCTCGGGCGCGGCTGGCTAACCGGGTCTCTGTGGTCGCTGTAGAGCTGAGCCTGCTCCGCAACGTCGACGCCAGCAACGCGGAGGGCGGCGCCGCGGTGAAGAACTCTAGCCTGCTGAGCGGGTTCCGAGGCGCCTCCGGCTACAACCACGAGACGGAGACCATCTTCGCCTTGCCGCGCATGCAGCTCGACTTCAAATCCATCCACGTCCAGGAGCCGCAGGAGCCTTCGCTGCAGGGTGCGTGGGTGGCCTGGGCCACGGCAGCTCCGTCCCTGCCAGCTGGGGAGGGGCTGGCGGGCCGGCGTTCCGCCCGTCTTAGAGCGGGACAGCGGCTCCTCGCGGGCTCGGCGAGGGACAGCTGTGCTCCCTCCTCGTTCTGTGACTCGCACAGAAATCTCGTTTCTGTAGCGTCGCGGTCACGCGGATCGTGCGCCGTTAGTGGGGAGAGAAGGCGTACCCCGCAGTCTTCCACCCTAAGCAGAAACCTCCCCCGCAGACGCCGACCAGAAGCCCAAGGTTGAGTGCAGCGTGGTGACAGAGTTCACTGACCACATCTGCGTGACCATGGACGCCGAGCTCATCATGTTCCTGCACGACCTCGTGTCCGCCTACCTGAAGGAGAAGGAGAAAGGTGGGTGTGCCTGCGGCTCACGCAGTCGAGTACGGCACTAAGCGAGTCACAGAGCACAGACACGTCTTCTCTGTGTCAGTTCTTCACGCCTCAGCGGCGCCCTGGCCCCCTCGCTGGAAACTGCCCACCGAGGCGCAGGTGGCCCTCTGGGCCGTCGTGCCCTACACGGCTGCAGTGGCGGGCCTGTGGGTGGCGGCAGGGATGGCATCAGTCACTTCCCGACACGCACTCAGCAGTGTCCCGTGCTGGCTGTCAGCGCTGGGAATACGCGTAGCCGGTTCAGTTCCCATTTCAATAGTGACGAACTTTCTGCACAAAGAAGGAAAAGTGGGACGTGTCTCCAGGTACCTCACAGTAGCTCATGGTGTCTGAAGCTGGTGCTGAAAGAGCATGTGGCAGAGACTGGCCTGCTCCCGGTGCTGTCCACGCCGGACACGTGAGCAGCCAGTAACGGCGGAGGGGCAGCCTGCTGAAGACTGTGGGTACAGTCTCCAAGGCAGCGTGTCAGTCACTGGAGACCCACTTGTTTCTCTAAGGTGGAAGAAAGTCGAGGTAAAAATCAGAATTCTGTTCTCATCAATGCAGAGACAGGCAAGCCTGCCGGACTCCTCAGGCGCCGCGTGGAGCAGCCAGGGGACTGCACTTTTTGAAAATATCTTTTTAAAGCTCTAAATCCAAAATGAAAAGCAGTTAATTCGGGCCAGAGCAAGTATAAAGCGCCCTGCAACGTCTTCATTGCGGCCTAGTCTCACGTGCTGACAACATGGCTCCAAATCCAGGAAGAGCGCGGCGGCGTCAGCAGCGCCGGAGCCGCCTCACTCGGGCTCCTTCCTGTCAGGCCAGACGGGCGACGTGGCCTTTGCGGCTGCCTGAGGATGCCGTGTCCCAGGGCTCGCAGGAGCGGCCTCGCGCAGGTCTGGCTTCGTACTGGCCGCCAGGACAGTCTCGTCTGAGTGTCCACTGTCAGGCGTGAACAGGTGAAGGCACTGTCAGGTCACGTACGCGCAGACGGTGACCTCCAGGATGGCCCCATTTCACGTGTGCAGTGCAAAACTTACCTCAGAAAAGCTACTGAAAGGAAAAGGCCTCCGCTGCCCATTTCCGGCAGCCCTGGCCAGCTCTTGGGCCTGGGCGTCCCTCAGCACGAGTCTGCGGCTGCGACGTGCTCTCACGCAGCGGAGGCGTCACCACGGCAGCAGGAGGGAAGTGAGCCCAGCACCCTCGTCCTTCAGGAAGGACCAGTGACCGGCGCTCGCTCATGTAGGGTCAGGGGTACTTTAGGGAACCACCGTAAGTGAGGCTTTGCCAGTTCATAAATAAAATTCCTCTGATCTTACAGGTAATTGTAACTAGGACTGTGAGACACATATTTGCTACATTAACCTGTCGTTTCCACGACAGCCATTTTCCCGCCTCGGATTCTAGCCACACGACCCGGTCAGAAGAGTCCGATTATTCTACATGATGACAGCTCCTCTGAGAGAGACCGAGAAGACGGGATCACGTACACCACTGTGGACTGGAGAGACTTTCTGTGCAACACGTGGCACCTGGAGCCCACGCTCAGGTGAGGAGAGGCTGCGTGCTGTGCCCTGCCATGCTGGGAGATGCCATACGAGGCCACAGGGGCCTCCGAAACACGTGGAGCAGGTCACCGCCTGTGACCCGCAGCGCCTTTGCGACCGCTTGCAGGAAAGTGCAGGCGGCACCGGCGCGAAGGCCGACGGCCCCTTCCCGCCGTCTGCTGTGCTGGCGGGCAGCCGAGGGGCTGCAGGAGACGGCTCTGCTTGCTTGGGGAAAGCTGAGGTGTCGTCATTAAGGGCCACGTGTTCTCCCCTGCGTCAGGACCGAGTGAAGGCCTGACCCAGCCCAGCGTCCTCGGCCTGCCACCCGCCGGTCAGGCTGCGGGGCCTGCTTCCTGCCTGGCTCGTCCGTGCGGCCGGGGCGCGGGGCTTCCCGCCGGTCGCTCACACGCAGACCTGCCCGTTCCCCTTCCTCCCAGATGACAGTCGTCTCAGTCGTGGGCGACAGACACAAACAAGGTGGACACCTTTTAGATGCCCATTGCCTCCAGAGACAGCCTAAGCAGACGGTGGCCTAAGTCCACCGCGTTCACTGCTGTGTGGCTCTCAGGGATTTTACCACTGCACTATCGTGATTCCAGGAATTGGAGGCTCGGTTTCTTAAAACACTTGTAGTGTTTTGCCTTGAACAGATCCTGAAGGCTTGGTGATGTTTCTTTAAAGTATTTATTTACGCAGACAAGAAGTGGGTGCAGGCCAGAGCTGTGGGGGTGGGAGGACTCCCCAGAGACAGAGTGGGGAGCAAAACAGGCAGATCCACTGAGACACACGGCTGAGGGGGCAGCTGGTAGAAAGGAGGGGTCTGGGGTGCCCCAGGGGGGTCACTCCCTGGCTGGGGGACGGGCCTAGGTCATGGCGGTGACCGCCTGAGACTCGACCCCCGGGCCACGGGAGAGGCCCCAGCTTGGTGACGTTCTTGAACAACCTTTGAACTATGTTGGGCAGTACACGCTAACAATTATTTATAATTATTTTAGATTAATTTCTTGGACTGGAAGAAAGATTGACCCAGTAGGTGTTGATTATATTCTGCAAAAGCTGGGCTTCCACCACGCCAGGACCACCATTCCTAAATGGCTCCAGAGAGGCGTCATGGACCCACTGGACAAGGTTCTGTCAGTTCTCATAAAAAAGCTGGGTACGGCACTGCAGGACGAAAAGGAAAAGAAAGGAAGAGACAAGGAAGAACACTGAGAGTAACCTGCTCTGTGAACAGATTATGACTGTGTCCGTTAAGTTTTACTACACTGGAGTGTTTTTTCTTTGTACAGTAAAATTATTTTAATTAGCTTAATTCTGGGTTTGTGGCCATTACCTTAAAAAGTTTATAAGGCAACTCATCCGAGCCCCACCATCAAAGTATTGCATGATAATGTAAGTTTTGTGATTAACTAGGCCGAAATACATAAACCTGGCTGGGTTTAGAAACTATTATGTGCAATATGATTCCTGCATCTTTGAAATATTTTCAGAACAACTGTGAATTTCCTTTGTCACTGGCCATAAGTTTTAGAAAAAAGTCCTGTTGATAATCCTTTTTCATTGCTTTTCCTTTTCTTAAACTGTAGACTTGTATAAATACCTACCTGTACATAGTCTGAGTAATTGTGATATGCTTAAGTATCACGATCGTTTGTAATAAAGAAAGTGGTTTCAGTCTATAGCTGAATCTTCTCCTTTGACAGCTAAGTTCTGTAATGACCAGACCTTGATTCGGTGTCAGTGACTCAGTTTCCACAGAGGATTATCTCAGATCCCAGGGGTACAGCGGTGGTTCCACATACTCAGATCAGGAAATAGGATGTGCATCCCCAAAACAACAACACTGTGAGATTGTCCCAGCAGAGGCGGGAGGGCGGCCGGTGAGAGTCAGTCATTCCGCCGGCGGCGGGCTGGCAACTGAACGGGCCTGAAGCGCCCGAGCGGGCTCACGACTGCGCGGCCCACAGCCCCTCGGCCCTCCCAGCGCAGTGCCCAGCAGGTCCCGTCGCGCTCAGGGCGGCGAGCCCGCGAGCCCGGCCCGTGTGGGCGTTTAAGTGCCAGACGAGCCCGAGAAGCCAAAGTAAAGAACTCGCAAACCAAGGCGGGGACCTCGCGGCCTCGGACCTTGCTGGGCCTCCGCCCGGCGGGGTGCTGCGTGTCCCGCCCCCGCCCCGCAAGGCCTGTGGCCGGAGGGCGTTAAACGGCCCGATTCTGACTCCGTTCACCCTCCACCGAAGCACAAGCGCAGGTCGGCGAGCACCCGAGCAATCGCGCCAGCCGGCGCCCGGGCCCAAAGACACTGGGCGCCAGGTCTCTTCCCGCGTCGACAACCCCGCTCCGAGCGCGGGCCC